TATATATATATATATATATGCTTTCAACCCGCGTGTTTTCATCGATTAGCTAACAGATGATTCTTAATAACGTTATTTCTTTGCTATTACACATTAGGTATTACTACTTATTACATGTCCTTCTTTCGCGATCGAAGGATGGCTTATCAGTGCCAATTTCTGTACACGGTCGATAGTTAAAATAAAGTTGCGTACATGGCACTAAACAACATCGTAGAGTACGAGAATCTAATAATCTTAAGCATACAAAAATAAATTATAATAATAATCATGTATCTCTGAACTTATACATGTACAATGAATACTATATTATGTGTACGTATATATATAATATATATATATATATATATATAGATATATAAATATATTTTAAAGTACAATATCCCTCACTCTTGATTCAGAGTACAATTAAAATGCTCTTCTTCTCTTAATAATACACACTAGAATATCTAGGAGAATTACCTAATGTGTGCCGAATAATCTGAAACTATTCTTTTATACACAAAGAATGCCCACAATTGAATTTCGACAAGTCCGTGCTTATTGCACTTGCGCATAAACGACGGTACAATCTTTTCCTCCGAAGCATCTTACGAAATCTCGCGAACGAACAACAAGCAGGGGTATAAAAATTTTATTCAACGTGCTATCGTGAATATTATTTCCCTATATAGAGAACACATCGATCGTTTAGCATCGCGCGTGCTTAAAACATAAGCATAAGTTGATACATTATTTTAAAAAATATATTACACCAGCAATGTACAGTTTCTCCTAGACATTCTTGCTTCACTAAACCCACCATTGCATTTGCTGGTGTACACGCTTTGGCTGCAGCAAATTACCTGCACACACGAAATTCAAATTTATATCTTTAAATCGAAAATACAAGCTTTACAGTATGACAAGAATCAAACTGAGATCATTTGCAGCACACGGCGAGACAAAAGTTATTTATTCTCTCGTGTATCTTTTCTTTTTTTTTTTTTTTTTTCGAAAAAAATATAAACAAATGTTTTTATGTATTCTTTTCGATTTTGTTACTTTCAATTTAGTTACATCTCGCTACGTAGATACGTTGTTTACATACGTACCTATATAGTTTAAGGAGTTTAGTAAATTACAGACTTGTAAAGGCACAGGACGAAACGACTAGGAATAATGTTGCAATGGCTAACACGGGTTGAGATGCCGATCCTTTAACTGAGAACACATTAAATATTCATAAGAATCATCTTCATTTACAAACGGATATTGCTACTCAGCGTGTATGAATTTGTATGCGATATTTACCATTATCAACTTGCTTATCCGTGTATTCTGCAAAGCAGTCGGAAAAAGGAAACTTTTTTTTAGTAGAATAATAATTTCATTATACATTGAACAATTGGAAAAGTCATGTTCGTACCTCCTATAAATTCGTATGGATCCGATGGTGGCGACCATCCAAAATCATTTCTAGCCATAAGGATTGCTTCGTACGATTCAGGTTTATCCGATACTGGGATCGTATATTCGACAGTGAATTGATATCCCCTGCCATTCGTTACCGTAGGATACACAACTGTCCAACGTTCTTCGTCTCCTTTGTGACGATATTGTAGCTGAATCGTACATTTTCATACATTTTAATTACCGTTATTAATAAATAAAATGCTAGCAGGGAAAAGTAATATTTAATTACCTTGTACTCGGTAATCGGGGAATAGCTTTCCAATTGCCATTTCAGGATCAATCCCGAGTCAGTCTGTGTCATCTCACCGTCGGAAATGATCGCCTGAGTAGGAATACCTGTGAAACAAATTTTCATTGTCAAACGCTGGTCATTCTCAAGCTCTCGGAGCTTTCGAATCGTTTCATCATCGATTACTGAAATTTCGGAAACCCCGTCTTGAACTCTGTCGAACAAATCCTCGTAATATCATACTTCGAGATGTCCGAACTTTCCAGGCTTTCCCAATTTTTTTTTTCAGTTTTCATTTCCCTCGGATTTCACGGATGTCACTTTACTTTCAGATTTTCACTGCTTAAGCGAAACGAGAAGAAAGTCGTACCGGTAAGAGAAATAATTTTCTCCGTTCGTCCCAGTTTATTCTCCGCGACGCACACGTAATTTCCCAAGTGTTCCTTCTTCGTATGCAGGATCTCGAGTATGTGTCGTGTTCTGTTCACTTTGATCTCTATGCTGCCTTTTTTCGGCAATACTTCTTCCCGATCCTTGAACCACGTCACTTTAGCACGCGGATGAGCGTGCACGTTGCATATTAACCGTGATTCAACTCCGAGTCCGGTGTGCACCCATCTCCCTTTCCCGTCTATTTCGGGAGCATCTACGAAAGCAAAGATAAAAGTTCCCTTTTTTCTCCTTTTCATGTTCGATTCGTTCGGTTGAATTCGTAAGATTTAGATATAGATTTAAACGTAGAACAATAGTCGTGTCGTGAATTTCTTACAATTGACAATGACGGTGATGGCTTCCACAGGTGGATTTTCCATTCCGTTCTCGGCCAAACACTGATAACGGCCACCGTCGTGTTTGTTAATGTTCGTGATAGTTATGTAGTTGCCAGAGACGATCACGTTACTATGGACTCTCTCGTTCTGCAATAAAAAGAAAAAAAAAAAAGAAAATAAAGAAAGGTGTGAAAGGTGCGTTTTTGTCGAGTAAACATCCCGTGAATGAAAATGGTAATGGGTCCCGCGAATGGTTGCTTTCCCTTAATTAAACATTCGAACATGCTACTTTTCCTGCCTTATTAAATACTTTAAAGCAACGAAATGGCACTTTAAATGAATTAAATTCCGTTTTGAAAAGAAAGGCTTGAAACCAAACGAATGGACTTGTGCTTTTCCACATCTCACGGTATCTTATCTTACCTCGTGGTACCATTTTATCTCGGATGCCGATTGTATCCTTGTTTCACAGCCGAGGGTGACATTTTCACCAGCGTTGACTTCCACCTTTTTCGCCGGAATGACACGTATCAGGGATGGTGGTTTGTATTGCTCGGTTGGCGGCAATGCTGGCGAAGCCGTAACTGGCTCCGAAACGACCGTCACTCCGTGTTTGATCGTAATAGGCGGGTTAAACAAGACACTACACTCGTAATCGTCAGAAGTGTCATTGACCGTTGCATTGTATATCACTAATGTGTTATTCGGTAATCGAACAATCCTCTGATTGTGCGGTGTCATTGCATTCGAGTCATAGTAGATGTATTCGTCGCCCTTCTTCCACGTGACCGTGAATCTGTCTGAAATATTTGAATTTGGTCAGGCTTGTACACACACACTTTAGATTTGTATCTTGCGTATCGAGAAACATTATGTGTAAATTAATTACAAACCTGCATTTTTCAATAGACAGTGCAGATATACAGTGGTCCCGTTTCTTACGCGTATACTGTCAGGCTTGGATATGATTTGTGGTTCGACGTCGTCAGGTGGCTCCTCATCTTCGACGTTATCATCGTTGTAATCGGATTCGTCTTCGATGTAATCGGCTCCTTCAGAATTCTTAGATGGCTTGCACCAAGCTGTGAAACCAAAGGAAAACACCATTATTCAATAATGCGCGTTCTCTCTCTAAATTTTATTTAATCATTTCAATATTCCTCAGAGTCATGCTTCGTTTCCATGCCATTCGTGCGCTTTCATTGCCACGAGAATCAAGAAGTACGAATGGAAAAATCGTGATCTCAGTGGCGGTTGGTCACGAACGAAATCCGTTCACTTAACCTTTTCGGCGATGTCGTTGTATGTATATTGAACAGTTGTTGCGCACACAGCGTGTGCAAATTTTTTCTTGTTAGTACAAGAGTGTGCAACGTAGTACAAACATTAAATTTAAAGTCGTT